CGGTTCCCACTGCCATCAAGAAGATTATCACCATGTTATAGTCCAACACAGGCTCGTTGGGTGCGTACATGGCCACCAGCCTTCCTTTTCCAAAGGACTGTTAAATTTAGAAATATTATAGGACCATGTTTGGGTTAAAAATGCAGTTAAAAAAAACTACTGGTGAAATGATTTCTCACCTTGCTTATGTCCAACATATCAGCATAGCTCAGCAGTGCGACGGGGATGTCGATCTCTTCATACTGACTCTTATTCCCTGCTGGTGGAGTCTGTGAATAAAACATTTATTTCCCCAACTGATTTAAACCAAAATGAGTTTTATTTTAGAAACACAGCGGGTTTCACTCTCACCAGTCTGTCCTTGCTGACAATGAGCAGCCCCTTGGCGCCGTTAATCTGGGCCAGGCGAACCTTGTCGTAGAAAGTGCAGTTGCCCCTCATCACCATGGGGATGCTGTTCGGGAAGCCCCCCTCCGGGACGTCAGAGGGGAAGCACAGGACCGAAGACGTCAAGTCATAGATCTGAAGTCGGGACTGTGAGGTAAAACGGGTTTGGTGAAGACGCTTCGCAGAAGACAGTTTTATGTTTTTCTGCTTTTATCCAAGAAAAACAAATGGTTTTTTTTTACACTTTCAAACTGTTATTGCTGCCTTTATTTCCTGTTTACTTTCATTTACAATGTCATGTTGGCGCATGAGTTGTAGCCGTTTTGGTCATACTGTGATTAGGGGTGCACCGATAAATCGGCCAACTGATTTATCAACACTGATTTCGGAGATCGGCCCGATCCTTGGAGAAGATCGGCTTTTCTACTTCCACAAATGTCTGAAAATTAAGGTTGGGCAACATTGGCAAAAAAAAAAATCACGATTAATTGTGGTATTTAGCTGATAACGATTAATTTGATGATTAATCCCCTGGAGTCCCTGGACACCCTTATGTTCTAGTCACATGACCAATTTAGTGGGAAAGATTTGCTTTTTGTAAAAATCTGTTCCAAATTGTATCAAAATTACAGACTTCAGGCTATACATCAAATTTTAAATTGTGTTGATAGGTAAATAAATTACAGAACTTTTTTTTAATGTTCGTCATATTTAAAGCGGAGAGGAGCACCGATCGGTCAGTCCGCCTGGTGGCATTAATTGTCTTAATCGTTAAGTGCCAAAAAATAAATCGATTAATGTTTTTCTAACGATTAACTGCACACGATATGATTACGCCCGACCCTACTGAAAATCAGCCACTATCCTCTTTTGCTCTGCTGTGAGCACTACTTTATATCCAATTAAAACAAGTTTGTATTGTTTCAATTGTATTTTCTAATCATAATAATAACATTTGAACATTGGAGTTGTATTGTGACTTTATAGCATCTGTGTCACCTATTTAAAAAAATCGATAGCGACCAAAATCGGTACGGGCAGGTGAGGCTTTTTAAAGATCGGAGATTTGATGCACCTCTAACATGCTCAACAAAAACCTTTCACACTCAGATGTGTTACTAATGACTTCCAGCTACAACCACATCACATTTTAGCTCAATGTCTGTAAAACTGAGCTATAGACATGTTTGTGTTTCTAATGTGAGTTGCCATCTTAAATCAGGGCGACCCCAGATGTTAATCAGTTGTAGACGTATATTCAACGATTACTATCATAAGATGTTTTAATAGCGCCACAGATAAACACACAGCCTGGGCCAAAACTTTTATCGTTTTTGTACGATAATGAAAGGTGTCTTTGTTATAATAAGCAACTCACTGCCTTGTTGAGGTCCTGAGGTAGACGTGCCCACTGGGAGTTGAAGAATATGCAGTAATCCTTCCCTTTGCTCTTGCCTTGGTCACTGAAATGGGCCATGCCGTACTCTCCCACCACCTGTTAATAAAGAACAGCCTTTGTGCTAGTCCACATACAGTATTTATCTGCAACTCTGAATTCATTTTAAATACTAATACAGTGTATTAATGGATAAATTACTAAGGGAATTCAAAAGATCATCTTTATTAGAGATAATGTACTGTACATGAAGAAACTGTCAGCCTAATATAATCTAAAATACTCATACAGTAATCTAAAATACTCATACAGTAATCTAAAATACTCATACAGTAATCTAAAATACTCATACAGTAATCTAAAATACTCATACAGTAATCTAAAATACTCATACAGTAATCTAAAATACTCATACAGTGGACAGACACTGTATTGATCCTTTGCAGGAAACCGGTCTCTTTAGCAGATAAGACTCATATTTCAGACCTTATCTTCCCTTTTAAAATCATTTTCACATAAATTTTTTCACCTTCTGATAATTCTGATTTTTGTGTTCCGTGAAAAAAGCTATAATAATTTTTCCATAGATCTTACCCAAACGCACGGTTGTGTGGGTGAGCTCCGCAGGCTAACGCTCATAGCATTTAATGCTTAAAGGGGTTAGGGGTTATTTCAAAGAACATCCCGTATTTGTAAGCTACAGACGGCTATGACAATGCGCACGTACAGAGAAACGATTTACGATTAAGTACGTGTAATCGCTCTTACCTTCTGGATGAGGAAAGCGGCCCAAATCAGTGTTTCGGAGAGCCTCATGTCGCCTAGCTTGTTGTTGTTTCCCCCATCAACCAACCACTCCGCTCCAAAGCTCAGGACCAGCTGTCCTCCAAAACCACGCCCATTTGTTTTCTTATAGACTTTTTTATTGGCTCCTGACGGTAAAAGCAAAAGAGCGCGTCTGTGATTGGTTCAGATCAACATCAGTCAGAAGACTGACAGACATGGTCTAAATATATTTATATATTTTTCCCCATTGGAAAAATGCAGCAGCGTAAAAAAAAAAAGGTCATCATAAAATAGAGTGTTAAATCGGAAACATAATTTTTCTTATGGAATTTCTAAAGAATTAAGATGCAAATAAGTGTAATAGAAATGCAAATTGGTTTCAGAAAGGACAAATATTTACTGAAATTTTATCCCTGGTGGTCTAGTGGTTAGGATTCGGCGCTCTCACCGCCGCGGCCCGGGTTCGATTCCCGGTCAGGGAACTTCTTTTTTGAATTTTACAATTTACTTAAAACTAAAAAGATTAGATGTCACAAGAAAGTTTGGTTGTTCAAAAATATATTTTATTGCCCTCGTCATTTTATAAACGTATAAACTTTGTGACTTGGTTTAACACATCATTTCTCCGCGTCATCTTTTTTAAATATGTCGCGCAATGTTATTGGCTTCGTATTGTTCTTTGTATGGCCTCATTTTATTCGCTGCAGTTGCGTGCTTGATCTTGTTTCCGAGACAGCTGATTCTCTCAGCCTGATGTCATTCCATATGGCCTCCCTTCTGCTATTTACCTGCATCAAGAAGTTTGCCATAACCGGGGGAAAAAAGCAGGTCAATTTCAAAATAAAGTTGCAATCGCTGAAAAAAACTTCATTTCAACAAGAAAAACAAAAGACTACCAAGGCAACACAACTTGAAAGAAATGCACTCAGCATCAGTATTTGATAGCGTTAATTTTACAGATATTAACTTTCAGTTTTGTATGAAACTGTCCATTAATGTCAAATAATTCTGAAAATTATTGCTCTTATTTGAACTTTTCAAACGAAAAATACATAAATCATCAGTATTTATATACATAGATTTTTTAAAAACGGCGTCGCTTAAGAATAAAATAAAATAAGTAAAGAAATACCACAATCTACCTTCATTTCTTATTAAAAGTTGTTGCAATACTTTTACTTTGACAAGACAAACCGGAAGCTCCTACTTTAGCTCTTGTTAACTTGAAACAAGTCCGGGCTGGTGATCCACTCTTTACTTGGATGAGTGCGGTGCTTGTAGCCACCCGTACTGTGAGTATCGATTGTATTGATGCCTTCACATTTAAAGGGATAAATGTTTATTTATGCTATCACGTTGTTTGTTTAAAATATAATGTGTTCAGCTGTAAAGATTATATTTGTGCTAAAAACAGCCGGAGCCGGACCGGCCGGTGTTTAACGCTAACTCGTTAACCAGTTTAGCTAGCTAACCTTTCGTGGTCGCGTCTCGCGTATAATTTTCTCCCGTTTTATTGTCACGAAACTTAAGCAAACTTTAATATCTTAACGTTTTAAGCAAACTTTAATATCTTAACGTTGTGTAGTTGTTTGTCTTTGTATTAGCTTAGTTTGTTAGTTTGGTTTAAAGCCCGTTTTGTCGGGCGATTTTCAGTCAATAGTCCATGGGTTCTCAGATAATGTACTGATGTGTTTCTGCGAAAAACTTAAGGCACGCAAAACGTCAACAAATAAAACTGTAGAAAACGCCTGTGTGGACACATTCTAGTCCCTTAAAACGAATAAGAGTTGACTGGACCCGGGCAGGAGATGATGTAAGTAGGACTGGTATGCAGAGGTCTGACATCAGCCTCTGAAAGTCTCTGAAAAGTAAAGCTGTGATCACTACAACCAAATAAGGAGGAAACACAAGTCGAGATGAATTTGCCATTTAGAGGGGGGGAAATGTTGTGATGTTTTGCAATTAAAGGCTAAAGCTATCATTGTGGAGTTGATTTGGTTTTTGAGATATTTGTAATAATCACTCACTGTTGTTTTCATTGTTATTTCTTTTAATTTTTCACTACAGGAAGTCTTAAAGCGTCTCTCCCATCGTTATTCCAGTCAGCACCATGGCTGGCTTCAGGCAGGAGGATGTTGAGCTGTATTATGAGATGGGAGAGGAGCTGGGCAGGTATGTAGCTGCACCTTTTTTTTTTTTTCCTGTGCAGCAGCACAGGTCAGCCACATGTAAAACACTCAATCAAAAAGCTCCTTTTGAGCTGATATGTAGTTAGATTATTGATAACTCGGGTATGAAACACAGTGTGTCCAAAACTCCATCTCAGGTTAGGGCCAAAAAATAAAAAAATAAATAAAAAACGTATGTGTCAGCAACATAAACACATTCTCATCTCTTTTATTGCTGTGCTGGATAGTTTTCAAGATGAGTCAACAATTTTTGTCAAAATTAGTCCCACCTCTTCGCATTAGCAACTTTTTTTCTTCTGCAGTAATGCAGCAAAACTATGACGTCAGGGGCTTCCAGGGTGCCTTTCCACATCTGCTGTTGTGTAGTGTCTCTGAAGAAGAGGACGCTGCCTGTGTTTGCCAAGAAAAGCTGCATATATTAACATTGAAGCGCTCAAAATACTGCTGCAGTACCTGAAGTCTTATGTTTCCCTCTCTTATTAAAAAACTGATCTAATGTATGTCTTAACATTTTAAAACTATAAATATATTCATTTTATTTAAGTACAGTAAAAACTTTTTCTAAAACAACTAGTCTAGTGAAGAACAACACCTTTTATCTTACTACTTCATCTGCTCGTTTTTAGCATTTTCCACCTAGCTGTTATTCTAACATCACTCATGTTCGTCCTCTGTGCAGCGGCCAGTTCGCCATCGTCCGTAAGTGCATCGAGAAGTGCACCGATGTCGAGTACGCGGCCAAGTTCATCAAAAAGCGGCGCCTGTCGTCCAGCCGGCGTGGCGTGAGCCGCGAGGAGATCGAGCGCGAGGTCAACATCCTGCGGGAGATCCAGCACAGCAACATCATCACGCTGCACGACATCTTTGAAAACAAGACGGACGTGATCCTGATCCTGGAGCTGGTGTCCGGCGGAGAGCTGTTCGACTTCCTGGCCGAGAAGGAGTCTTTGACCGAAGAGGAGGCCACGCAGTTTCTGAAGCAGATCCTGGACGGCGTTTATTACCTCCACTCCAAACGCATCGCTCACTTTGACCTGAAGGTCTGTCTGATGGGAAGCTGACTGTACAGTCGTGTTTGTTTAGAACTGGCTAAAAAAAACTATTAAACCCCCATGGGGAAGAACAGAAAAATGTTTTTGTCAGCATCTTTTTTTTTATCCTTTTTTCTTTTCTCTTTCAGCCTGAGAATATCATGCTGCTGGACAAGAATGTTCCCAACCCCAGGATCAAGCTGATTGATTTTGGCATCGCTCATCAGATTAAAGCAGGAAACGAGTTTAAAAACATTTTTGGAACTCCGGAGTTTGTTGGTAAGAAGCACAGTTAGCACGCTCACACAGGCCTGTAAGTAAAACCTTGTAAGTGGGAGAGCACATCTGTTGTGAATTAAAGCGCTCGTTCCTCTGTGTTTTACAGCACCAGAAATAGTCAACTATGAGCCACTTGGCCTGGAGGCAGACATGTGGTGAGATGCCATTCTTGTCTTTTTTTTTCTTTCTTTTTGAAGCTTGTATGTTAACTTGCCTGGCGCTTTTCCATCGTGTTCACTTGTCTCCTCTCGTTTGCAGGAGCATCGGAGTGATCACTTATATTCTGTGAGTAAGGTTTCACGCCGTGACGGCCTGTTGAGTCACGTCACCCCTCAGTCTTGCGAGGTCTACAGCCAGGTTTCTGTCTCACGATAGGTTGAGCGGCGCATCTCCATTCCTGGGCGAGACCAAACAGGAGACTTTAACCAACATCTCTGCCGTGAACTACGACTTCGACGAGGAGTATTTCAGCAACACCAGCGAGCTGGCCAAGGACTTCATACGCCGCCTGTTGGTCAAAGACCCAAAGTAAAAATACATTTTAAGATACTTTTTTCTTCAGTATTAAAATCTAATAGTGATAAAATTCATTTTCAGTTATGCTAACTTGTTTTTTTTTAAAGCTAAATAATCATAGTTTTATCAGCATAATAATTTTTTTTATAGGAAGAGAATGACGATTGATGAGAGTCTGCAGCACCCCTGGATAAAGGTAGGTGTTTTAATCAACATTTATATTGTTCATAACATGCTGAGTTTTGGTTTATATATACAAACTGTCATAATTAGAAATAAAAGCGGAAATATATAAATGAAATTATTATATTTAATAATTTTTCCCACAAGTCTGTTAATTTCCACGTGTTGCTTTTTTATTTCTCTTTCTCCTGTTTTTACTTTACCTTGTGCATTTCTGCCTCGTTTTGCAAATAAGGTGGGCGGGCCTTCTTGGGTCAGCTCCTCTCCTATTGGTCAACAGACAGGAAGGAGCAGGATCCATGTGCAGATCTACTGTGCTTGCTCGTGCCGCCTCAGTTACATTGATAATTAAATATAATCATTTAGGAGACACAAATGCATGTACAAGTAAAAGGAAAAATTAAAATATGTATTTTTTTAAACAGTAAAATGTAAATTTTGTGCTAAAATATATAATTTATTGGAATTAAGTTCAATTAAATTATAAAACATGAGGTACAGTTCTCCTTTTTTAATTTAATTAGTCAATTTTAAGTGTATTTATTTATTTATTTGTCCGTTTATATATTTCTGCTCTTATTTCTAACTATGACGGTTTCGGTCTCCATAGTTTAATCCTGTTTTCCTCCTGAAACGTAAAAGATCATACAATTTTAGCATTAGCATTTTTTTATAATAATGAAATGTGGCCTACTTCCTTCTTATCTATAAATTTACAAACTCAAAAAGTACAAGATTTTTTCTGATTGTCCAGACTGGAAGAATTTGGAAAAATGTTTAACTTATTCAAGTTTTAAGTATTCTTGTCCTCAAAATTTGTTATTTCTCCAGGTGATCAAGAGACGGAACGTTCGACAGGAGGACAGAGACCACAAGACGGAGCGCCGGCGCCTGAAGACCACCCGGCTGAAGGAGTACACCATCAAGTCCCACTCCAGCATGCCTCCCAACAACACCTACGTCAACTTCGAGCGCTTCTCCCAGGTGCTGGAGGAGATCGCGGCGGCCGAGGAGGGCCTGAGGGAGCTGGAGCGAAACCAGCACTCGTGCCAGGAGGACGTGGCGGCGCTGCTGTCCATCTACGAGGAGAAGGAGGGCTGGTACAAGGAGGAGAACCAAAGCATCTCCGCCGACTTGAGCCACGTCCGCCAGGAGCTGCAGCGCACGCAGGCCCAGCGCCGCAAATGTCAGGAGGACACCCGGCAGACCATGCAGAACGCCAACACCCTCAGGCGCAAGCTCGGGCGGCTGGAAAACCGCTACGAGGTTCTGGCTGAGCAGGTGGCCTCCGAGGTCCGCTGGGTGGAGGAGCTGCTGAACTCCATGTCGGCGGAGGACGGCCTCGGATCTGGCAGCATGCCCTGAGCGGGGCGTCATCCGGCAGTGACGGTTTCACTCTCGCGTTGCTCCCTTCTGCTCGATTCACGCGTGATCATCGAACGCTGCTGCTGCTGCTGCTCATCGGGAAAACGCTCCACTACTTCAATGTCGAGAGGACAACTTGTTGAAGCCATTCCCACGCAGAAAACCTCCTTCCTGTGTTTTTATAAATTAATTTATCCTTTTTAGATGTTTCATGTACTGTAACTTAGCTGTCATTTCAATGTGTTGAGTGGAATCAAAACACAAATATGCTCTTAAATTTACTTTTTGAATTTTTTTTTTTTTGGAACTTATTTTGATTTTGTATGAAATTGGAATCCAGTTACGTGAAAAAGCTTCACAATATATTTGTATAATAGTTTTTTTAAGGGATTTGTGGGTATTTATTCATGCAGTTGCATGTATTTTTTTATTTTAAATTTTTTAATGTCATGCGGCATTAAATTTCTCCCAGAAGTCTGGAGGGAGTGTCGGCACGATAAACAAACTTTTAGCACAGAAAACTCAGCTTTCTAATTCATTTCGATTGATTAATTGGTGCCAGATTATGATTTTAATTTTTAATCTACAATTCAGTCTGGGTTGACAAACTTGTAAAAGTAGAGCATTACCTCATTTAGGAATGTATACATTTATTTTTGCAGTGCCTGAAAACTGACTAACCTCATTGCCTTTATGAGCATTCGCCTGCCATCAGGTTAACATTGTTTCAGACCCATTTATAAAATGCCTGAAGTCTTAACGCAGCTTCTTTTTGCACAGGAGCCTCGTAAACCAAATGGCGTGCATGGAAATGGAAACTTTCTCTGTGTATATCTAGTCTATTTTTTTTTTCATCTTCTGCACATTTGAAACATTCCATTGATGGGTTTCACATTTGGCTTCCACATTCCCTGTGAATATATTAAAAGGCATTATGTATAGTCCGTAGTATTTTTTTAGCAGAGAAATGTACTCATTTGCACCTAATCTAAAGCAGAGTTTCAGATTCTATTTTAATCTGTATAATAATGAATTAAGAGCTTGTTTTAAATAAAGAAACTTATAGCTTAAACTGTTATTGGGTTCATGTAATTTTCCTCTGTAAGGGCACTGTACTGATTTCAACAATAAACATCCTCTTCTTGATACTACATAAAAAATGTCAGTTTAATTACAGCTACTGCTTTAAATTGTATTTACATTCAGATAATAAATGTGTAATTACATTCTTAAAGGAACTATTAAACTGATATAAACTCATCTGGCTACTTAAACAGGACATTCGTCATCTTAGTCTTAAAATGAGGCAAGAAAAACTCAATATAAGCTGATATTTATTAAACTAGTATATTTTTTGTACAAAAGAAACCTGATTCCTAAACATAAACCGTGAACATCACCTGATCAAGTCTGTACTATAACCTAAATACAGACCACCCTGGGGACTACCCTAAATAC